CTTTTTAATACCTTGAGATCAGGTATACAACTTTCATTAGACATATTCAAAACGTATTTTTTAAAGTTTATGCCATAAAAAACACAGAGTGAAATTCATAGAAAACGTGAATTCATCCAGAGACTTTGCAAATTCAAAAATGTACACATTAGCCAGTAATAGACAGAAGCAAATTACAGAACACCTGTAATTTTCCATCTGCATGTACCTGTCACTGCATATGCATAATAGCCGAATCCACAGGAGGCGCAGAATTAAGTCATCAGGAAAGATACAGTAACACATTTACACAAATAATAACTCTTTGTGGTAATTGCTTTATAAAACTATCATCAATTGTTTGAAATTTTTCATGATAAATATCTACTTCTCAGCTCATTGAAGAACACAAGAGATAATTGTCTGAGCTGATAAAGTTCAGAGGGACACATAGTTAAGAGGGTAGTATTTAAAAACACATGCAGCACTAGACAGAATAATGACAAATAATGAATCATTCCTAAAAGTTACAGGGTTCAGAGAAGATATGGGCCTGGAGTGCCATGTAAAGATATTTCTGTGGTGTCTGATACAACCTTTTTTTCAGTCTCAGGCAACTTGAGCTTCTCAGTTAGAATCACAGAATTCGACTGAATTTTAATTTCAAACCACGAGGTCCATATTATCTCTAAATCTGTCTGTGGGACATCATTTAAGACTATGTCTTTCCATAGGGAGTTTTAGTATCTGCTGTCACTCATAATGATGCTATCATTCACACTTCAAGTGTGTGAGGCATAATTAGCATTTTTTAGTAATCTGCATCCTCTGGTCTGTCACCATTCTGCTTTAAAATACATTTTTTCCTTTTACAGTTTACTGCAGAAGCAAAGAGGTATTATCTTTTTTGCTTTGGGTGTAGGCTTTCCTGGCAGTATGACACTCAGGCAATGACTATATGCACTGAGTCTCCTTCCTCTGTCAAGGATCTACAATGTCGGTTTGTGACATCACTGAAAACAGTCATAATTTCTTGTTGACGGACAGGCTAATTCCTTCTCAAAATAATATGCAAAGACAATTATCAATCAGCAATAAGTGTCTACATAAAGTGTCAGAAATGCTCAAGGCAGAGGTTAAGCTTGCATATCTTTAAAAGCTTTATCTGTACTCATGCAGTTATATCAAATCATGACCACTTAGACAATTTAATCAAAGTTGAAGTGTATTTAAAAAAGCTTTTTCTGAAATATGCTTCTTATAATCGTGTTCAGTTGTGAGGATTTTTAAAAGAATGAACAAGCCCTCTATTGTCAAAATGGAAGAACATCAGAAGTGTCTTCTGATGACATTTTAAAAAACCTCAAAACTTATTAATAATGTAAAAATTTTCCATTTCTGCATTTTATATTGGCTATTTCAAGTTTTCATTTAGAACTGCTTCTTTAAAAATAAATCATATTTCAATATGTAGCTCAAAAAATACAATATGCCCAAATTGCATTCATATTATTTCTACATGAGCAACACTTTTTGATCAAATCAAAATTGATTGTTTTCTAATAAAAAATGTTAACCTTTTCAATTTTTTTTCCAGTCTGAATAATTTTTTTTTTTTTAAGGTATTAGGGAAATGGCAGTGCTCAGAAAGATTTACTGTTTCTATTCATATTAAAATTGATGCCTTGCTAGAGGCAAATTAATTGATTTTATGAGTTATTTTCATCATTTACTGTTATAAAGTTTCAGCTGCATATCCAGGAGGTTTTTAATATACACTGATGAGGAAATACAGAATAGCATGTACAAAAATATAGAAATTGTGAAAGTAACAGAGTTCAATTTCAAAGTAGTCAAGTCCTATTTACTGTGACTCCCAGGTAAATTTATACACAAGAAATCACAGAGACCTTGTCTGCCACATTTTTCAGCTCTATGTACCTGACTATCTCAGAGATGTCAGAGGGGTACTAAATTTGTTAAGGGAAACACCTCTTGGCCTGTTGCTGTTAGGAAGTGAGCATTTCTATGGACGTGACTACATGTGTAATTCAAAGGTGAGAATTTGGATATTTTAATGAGCCTTGTCTGGTAGAGATAATCTTAGCATCACTGAAGCCAGCAGAGTTACATCAATTGGTACCAGAACAGAATCTTCTCATAAAACTTTGTTTTAAAACATAGGTGGTGCTGCCATTTTTGGAACACATTGCTCAACCTTCGCAAGTTTGTGATTTGTTCTGTACTTTCAATGACATCATATATTAATTTACTGGAAATAAAGAATAATGAGGTCATCCTAAGGCTCAGTACTGCGATGAAGAACTGAAAAGAGCTACAGTAAACATTAAAATATATATATATACATACATGCACACATATATATACTTATGTTCAATTTTTTACATATAAATCTGGTTGCTTAGGCAAAAGAAGAAGTTCTTGCCTTGTTTAAGAGGATTAATTTTGAGTATGTAGTTATCAGGACAAAGTATTCCACTTTCACTCATTTCAAATATATTTGTGATATTATGCAATATGTCCTCCCTTTAATTTATATAAAAGAGTTTTTTTAAAGCACATTTATAATACAACTTGGGGGGGGAAGAGATTTCATACTTGCTCCCTCTATAAACAAATCACATTTGTGATGGGGAAATAAAATTCAGCCTTCTCTTCCTGATTTTCTCTTTCTCCTCTAAGCTTTCTTTTACTCCATGTTATTAGATATGACACACACCCACTCCTCTCCCCACCCTTCCACCCCACCCCCGCCACTTTTCTTTAGCAGTTCAGGCATTTACCACTCCCCCTGAAGCTAATCAGAGTTTACGTCCCCCATGATACACAATGAACTCTCTGTGGAGCTCAGAAAGTGCATTCTATTTTTTTTTGTGTGGCTTTCTTAGACTGCTTTCTGGAGAAAATCCTTAGTCTAATAAATTTCTTAATCATTTTAAAAAACATGTTTAATTTTTTTCTTTTGGGATGTGTGGGGTTGTTCTGGGTTTTTTTCCTTGTAAAGGTTTTTAAAGTCCGTGGATTTGCCCCATCTTTGCTTCTCAATTCTAATCCCTGAACACTTTTAATCAAGTCTTCGGTAGTTTTAATTATTATTCAACATCTTATTTAGGATTAAAATTTTTCTATGATTGTACAGTGAATACAGATCATTAAATACTCATTGTATAATTAAAATTAAAAGAATAATCCCTCCAACAAAATTTCGAACAATTTAAACTACCCAGGATTTAAGAAAGCTAAATGATTGGAAAGGAGATTTATAGCTTGGTCAAATATCCTTAAAGTTAAAACAGATTTGTAAGCATTCTTAGGATAAAAAATAATTGTTGGGACAAACCAAACATGAAGTCTATCAGGTTTGATAGACTGTCTCCTATTGTGGCCAGTTCAAAGAGTAATAGAAAAAAAGATCTAAGAACAAAGAGCAAGAGAGTGTAGAAAAATCTGCATTTATAGTCAAGTCTCTTCCTGATCTTCAATATAAGAGAAAGCATAAACCCTGAAGCCTGAAGATAAAGATCTCTGCAATAAAATTGTTATTAACTACAAAAATCCCTGGTATTCTTGTTATCAATCTCTAAATTCGTTTTGTTGTTGTTGTTGTTTAGGATTATGTCTTCACAAACTACAGTCTCTAGGAAGAGCAGGATAACTGGGCAGAAATTTAAAATTTAAATGCAAAACAAAATCAGCAGTCATGAAAAAATGTGCACAAAAATGCAGTGTTTCTAAATCTTCTTTTACACTATGACGTGAATGTCACTTTATGAGGATCATCAGGTAAATTATCGTTAGCCATACAAAACCCAAATATATCACCTGTTCAATAAAATACTTCCATGTATTTTGACCCTATAAAAAGTTCATTAATCTATGAATCACTGTAGAGATATTTGCATACAAGCATCTTGGCAAAATAGCTGAAGAGGGAAAAAAGATGAATTCAAAAGAATCATGTGATAAGCTCATGTTCCTCTCAGAAAGGAAATATTTTTTATTTCCTCTTAACAAGGCTTGAGACGCACTGTCAAGCCTGTACAGAAGAGCTTTTTGTGAACCCTGGTGCAAAAATCCCTACCTGAGACTGCTCAGTAAGATTAATGATGGTCAAGAGCCATACAGAAGGTCAAGATGGCTAAACATAGCATTAGTCCATAGACGCTGCTGTCCAGCTACCTGTTTCCCCATCTGGACAGCTTACATTCACGCTCCTGTCAGTACAGGCTTCCATAGACCAAACGTTGCGTGTGTTGCCTTTGCACGGGCTCAGTGCTGTTTTCCTTTTGTTCCAAAAATTTAGAACTTTTTTTTTTTTTTGCAGAGATAATGCTTCAGACTCCAACAGTGTGGCTCCTTTCACCTGCAACATGCTTTTCACATCTCATTATCTTTCCTAGCTCTTCCTTTTCTACTTTGAGTAGTAGCATGCATTTGGACTTTCTGTATTATCCTACCCTTTCCTGGCTCTTCCACAACTCTCTGAAAAGCAAGTATTGTATGCCCTTTCAAAACTGTTTTTTGGTGCTTTTCTCACTTTGAATTCATTGGGCATGTTAAACTGCATTGGTGCAAACGCAGTGACAAAATAACTTGAGAGGGAGGTATCCTTATTTTGAAAAAGAAAATCCTCCAGTGTGAGTGTCTGAGTGTCTTAACACAGTTGATTAGGAAAATATGCTGTGAAATTCTCAGGAGACACTTGAAAAAAAGTCTTATCTGTCAAGGGAGGAGTGGGAGGAGAGACAAAAGAAAGGAATTAAGCCATTCAGAAGAGAGTTTCCTAGCAGGTGGCTTGATTTGTGCCACTTCAGCAAATGGAGAAAAACAAACAAACAAGAAAAAAATTACAATAGCACTCAAGGTGATTCATTAACTTATGTTTTCATTAATGTTTGAGGATGTCATTAAAACGTTACAATATTGAGAATTTTTCCATGTATTAGACGTTAGCTACTGTATCACACTGGGATATAGCCTAGCATTGCCCTATGTCTTACCGGGAGTCTGCTTAAAACCGTCCTGTGTTGTCTGTCATCAGTGTTCAGTGTGGGACTTCCTGCAAGTTTTCAAAGACAATAATGAAACCTGGGGATTGTATCCTTTTGAGCAAGTGAGTCATCAAAACATCACAGATGTTCATTACCATATGAATTTAGCACAATTTCTAAATCCCCAGACCACTGTTATCTCTGAATTTACCCTTTGCAGTGAATGGAGGAAAATTGCTATTTTATTTATCTGAAGACTGCATTGTGATAAGCAAAGTCCTGGAAACAATCCTGTGAAAGACTTTATGGTAAGGAAAATAAAAAAATATATAAAATTAAAAAATATATAATAATTTTTAGTAGAATCAAGAATTGTAGTTGCTGTTTCTGATACCATATGTAATTTTTTTCCCTCTCAAGAAAAAACCTGAAGTGAACCAGCACTTTCCTACAGACTTCCTGGAGACAGGTCAGTAACTAGTATGGGCCACAGCAGTTCTCATTAATTAGGTAGAGATTCTGGTAGGATGAACATAAGCTGTCCCGTGTCACCTAGCATAGCTAATGGCTATGTTTAAATTACAGCCATGATGCTTCCAAATAGCCCCAAAAATTTCTTTTCCTCTTGCTTTGTCTGCTCTTCTTTCTTCGTTATGTTTCCTTTAAACACCACTAAGTATTTTTCATGTTAACAAATTCTCTGTTTCTCTTTGCTGAACTTCATCGTGCCTTGATTTTGTTTATACGATTACAATTTGTTTACAACTGTATTTCAAAAATATATTTTAGGCAAAGAAACAGGGAAAAAAGCAGAGAATATGGTAAGGGCTTTAGACAGTGACTTGATATTTTAGGAAATTTAAATTCAGTGAAGTATATATAAGGCTAAAAGCATAAAAATACAGAATAAAAATTCAAATTATCCATTCTGGGTCCATGACTGCACATAACTCTATGTACAGGTAGGCAGGGTGGGAAGCATTCAGGTGGCTGGAAATCTGAGCAAAACACAGAGGAAGTCTTTGTACAAGTTCCAGCTACAGCTGAAAATACACATTATGATTTTGAGGAGTAGATACACTTCTTATTATTACTAAATTTAGGTTGATATTTCTCTAAGAATGGGTGTAAAAAGAGAAGGGAAAAAATTCAGCTGAACGCACCAATGTAAAAAGGGAATCAAAGATATTTATCTGCAATGTGAAACAATCCCTTGACATACAGTTACACGAACTTTTAATTAGAGGTCCTTTGATTTTAGTTCTAATGTTTACTACGTCTGCATGTGCAAGACACATATTTGCTATCCTCTAACTCTTCAGGACAAGCAAGCAATACCAATAGGTTTGAGGTTTGTTCCCAGTTTAAACTGGGTGAGATGAAACAAAATGCCAGTTGTGTAATCTCAAGGATTTGACATTGCCCGAGGAACCTGTAGCCACTGCTTTTAATTACTAAATTAAAAAAAAAAAAAAAAAGAAACCAAAAGGTTCAGGCAAACTTTCTCAATCACTTTCTGATATGTAGAGTTTGAACAAAATTTAAAAGCTGCACAACCATCTTTTAAAAGTGTGTGTGGGGAGAGGTGTATGCATCTGTTTTAAATTAAAATTTCCAGTTTCTATCTGTAGAGGATTGAAAAGCTTCTGGTGTTATGGGGACCAGTGGCACCCACACAAGTGTGTGGTCAGTAATCATATGAGATAATTTGACCTTCCCAATCAACTCTTCACTGAGGACCTAAATGAAATGGTTTGCATTGAATCAAATAACTCAGGGGCTAATACCTAAGAACCACACAAGCCTTTGCAATTATTCAATTATTTAGTAAAAGGGCATCGTTTCATATGCCATAAAGCAATTAAATTGATAATTAGACTAACAGAGTAATTTGATGTTAACTCAGTAAATACAAGCATATTTACTTCACATTTCTGCATAATCAACTAGTTCAGTTGAAGCTGAAGGTTTCAGTGGCTGAACTACTTCAGCCAGACATCAACCCTTCATAAGACCTGAAAGTAAATAAGAGTGACAATCTTTATAACTCCTCTAACTGCCAACCTGTATGTACAACTGTTGCTTGCTTTGTTCTTTATTTATGTTTAAAACACTTGTTTTGTCAAATAACATGATCACTGATCCTTCAGTACTTGGGATAATTGGTAGCAGTAGGTCAGCTAAATGGTTCATCCCAGCTTGTCTATATTGCTAATGAAACTCCAGCATTATCACTTCTTTTCCTTCCATGGGGAATATAGTTGCCTAGTACCCTCACATGTTACAACCCTGTCCTTTCCCCACTTGCTGAAAGACGCTTCCGTGACCTATTTCCATATGAAAGTATAGTTTCTTTTGTACTCTAGAAAATACAAAGTTAAATCCTAACCAGCTGAGAATCTGTCCCGCTTGCTTATTCTCTGTTAACTACTGCCTAGCACTCCTGCTGTGTCAAAATGCCTCACCAGTACCTCCTGCAGTGGGCTATGTCTTAAAGGCACACATTAATCGTTAATTAACAGATTATAATTTAAAAAATAAACTCCAAACAGCTCATTATAGTGACATTTAAATCATTCAATTCAGTTAAATAGGATGACAGTTTATTTAATAATGATCACAGTGTTTCTCTGTTCTGTTGCTTTTTTTCCCTCTTTAGCAGCATTCTGATACAGAAAAAAAAGATAACGTAGACAAATGTAATTCAAGTGGTCTCTTTATGAAACAAAATTAGTGCGAAATGATTTGACTCTGACTAGTATTGTTTCTTGAAGGATGGGAGAGGCAGCTGTGAGAACAATCTGTTTCTTCTAGGAGTCAACTATGCATGCCTTACTGTGTATAATAGTAATAATTGTAAAAAATACCAGTTTGGCTGAATGAGTTTTGTAGGATTCAGCTGACTTCACAGTTTTAAGAGTATTCTTTCTTTTTAAGAATGACTGGCTGTTGTAAAATGTGAGGAGTAAACAACATTACAGGATCTATTTTTATAGAAAGAAGCATCTTTCTGTATGATCCCCAGATGAAAAGCTGTCATCTGTCTTCTGGATAAGTTTTATCCTCCTCCCCTTCAATGGCAAGTTTTTTGAAACTGCAGAAGACTCCAAGCAATTCTTTATCATTCCCTAAATAAAGACATCAGAGCATTGGCAGACACCGTACATGAGCACGAATGGGCAGCTGTCTCTGAAAGCTTAGTTAAAAGCTGTGAAATATTATTACTAAGTGTATGTCAATGTGATGTCTCCTACTACCTTTAAATGGTGCTTTAAAATGATGCTTCAAGCAGAAGTTTTCTCATTTATGATGTATTAGCCTAAGTCTATAAACTACTCCGTGGAAGGAATCTTACCAGTCCATCAAAAGTAATTAAAGGCAGAGAGTAAATTTCAAAGACAAAGTGTAAATTGAATTGGGGGAAAAAAATAAAGAAGAAAAATAAGGAAGAAGAAATATTTTTTTAACCTTCCTTTCTTTCATCTGGGAACATTTAAAAAGACACATCTATTGATAGCATGCTAGTAAGAAGTTTTTAAGTATGACCAGAAAAAAAAACTGTTCCCTGAATTTTTATTCTATTTTATAGAACTGATGTAAAAAGATTAATGAGGTTGCAGTGTTAAGTGTTACATCACACATTCTTAATGGTGTCTTATTATTAACCAAATAATGCATTCTACTAATAGCTTGGACATTTATTGTTAAAATTTTAACTCTCTTCCCTTATTGTTTTCCTTGGATCAGTTCTATTGCTGGTCAAATAATGCATTCTTTTTGTATTGTGCTGTTTCTTAAATAGCTGTGCTAAGTATTCAGTCTGCTCTGTAGAGCACAAAACTTCAACTTTGTCTCTGCATGTATTCATTTTCACAGTATTTAATTACAGGATGAGATAATATTTCTCAAATAGCAGAGTCTAGTGTTATATTATTTATTCTTGGATTTGTACTTTATTTTTTTCTGGGAACATTCAAAGACATTTGCAATAAATATAATTCAGTGGAAAATTTAAATTTTATTATCATTATTTGATAATAAACTTTAAAAAATAAAATACTTAAAACATATTCTTCCTCTTCCCTGTCTTGGTTTTCTTTCAAAACTTGTCAAATGTCTTACAACCATCTCCACATAGAAAATAATAGCCAGCAACAAGGATAATGACAGTACCAATAAACATCATATTCAGAGAGAACAAACCTACAAAATTTCAATCTGAAAACTGTATGTTTAAGAAAGCTATGAAATGCTATAATGGACTGTAAGGGAAAACATGATTCATTTAACTTTATAGGTGAGTACTTCCCTGTTATAACAAGCAGAAATCATCTTTGCTGTCTTTAGTCAACTCTAGATACTCTTTTTTGTAAAGAGGTAAATTGTTAAAATATACTGTGAGATAAATTAATGAGTATTTATTTACCTAATGAGCAATTCTTCACAGTTTTCATACTTTCAAGGTCATAATGAATGGAGCTGGTTTTGTACCATTGGGATTTTTTATGTATTATGCTCCAAAACCTGCTTCCAACAAAAACCTCAATCTTTTCAAGTCAGGATAGGGTGAAACAATAAATCATGATATTGCTCTTCGTTTATGATTCAGAAGTGGGTGAAAGGCTTATTCCACCTCCCGTGGGAAATAACCTATTAAAACTTTGAGTTTCTTTTGATCTTAATCCAAAGCTCATCAAAATCAATAGTTCGGTTTCCATTGACCTCTAATATCATTAATACTAGATATTTTGGAGGGTGACTGAAGTCAATATATGTAACATGAATGAAGCTTTACAGAGAACCATTGGCACTTTTTTCCTAACTGCTTGCTTGTAGTTTGTAACTATTTAAATGGGGCACCTGAACTGCAGGAAAGAAATGAAGAGAAGAAAGTGGCTAACATGAAACCCCATAGTGATTTTAGTTTATATTTCTGTTTTACTTTGATCTAATTTAAAGTCAAAAGGAAATGTGTAGAATGCAAAATATTTCCGATGATGAAACAGATATCTTGTAGGAAAATAAAAGCCATACATACAATATTAGAAGTAACCAAAAGTTAAAACAGTCAATTCAAAGGTAGAAAAGCAGATATTTCATGGAAAGAGGTTTAATATAAAAGTAAAACTAGAAGAAAAAGAGAAAGAGGAAAAATATGGATAAGCTGATATATTTTTCCTTTTTTTCTTCTCTCCATTGTTTGTTACATTTCCATGTTTTATGCTATCTTAAAATTAGATGTGAACTCTAGCCTTTCTTAGTGTTTATTTTTTACATAGAATTTTGCTGGAACTACTTGTATTTGTGAGGTTAAGAGCATTTTTCAAAAGGATCATAATTTATTTGCAAATGGTTACTACTTTATTCTTTCTTCTGAAAATTCCAGACCCAAAATTTATTCTTTTCATGTAGCAAGTGATTTTTTTGTTGAAAAGAAAGAGAAGAAAACATTTTGATTCAGGGTCTTGATACATTGCAATAGATTTTGATTTTATAACAAAGTTGTTACTTTTCAGTTTACCAAAGGGATACTGTCATAGTTACAGGAAGCTTTTTTGTATTTTATAAACTGTAAGTAATTTTTTTTCTGCATGTTATTTGTACAGATATTTAGCAACTGCCTGTGTCCTGGGCCCAGCACTGAAGTTTACTTCTGAAAGATGAAATGAGAAATGTTTTTTTCTCAGGCCTTTATTGACAGAAGCATGAAACCCATGGAGTAGGACAGGGACCACAGAAAAGGAACAAATGATTGTTGCTTGGTTGTTGACTTGATAGCCTGTAATTAGCAGTTACTTCTGATAAATGCATATAGCTACACTTCCTCATTTGGACAGAGCACAGATCTATAACCTCTACAATCCTACCTGATCTGTAGAGTGCATGTCTTTTTCTCATATTTATTTGTCATTGTCTGGTAGAAACAGGACAAAGATTTTTCTGTGGGATAGAAATAAATGATAAAGATTAATCCTGAATATGGATTTCAGAAAATTACATCTCTTTAACATTGCTTTGTGAAGAAATTGGTTACAGGCCAGACCCTAATACTGTACACTTATCCTCTGAGAATGCCATTTGCAATGACAAAATAACAAGGGACATGTCTGAACTACTGTAAGAAGAGTCTGTCCTCATTTTCACCTGTCTGTTTCTATATGAATGTCAATGGCATCGGTATATTTCTCAGTGCCTGAAAATTCACCTTCAAGCACCAAATAAAACCAAAAAGTCTTTAAATCTCCTTCGAGAAGAAATAATATATTTCTTTAACTGTCAATCCATGTTTAATAATTATTAGGGCAACCGATTAATTCAAATGAACTACGGGAAAATGAATGCAATTAAAAAAAAATGAGAGATGGGGTTACATCCTCTGTATTTGTACTGGATTACCTGGTAATGTTTATATCCTTAGTGATCAGTTCCAGTGAGATCTGAGAAGAAGGAGAGGTAGCTCAAAGATATGCGTGTTCTAAACTTTTGCCAACTCTGGAGACAGAGTAAAGAACAGAAATTATTGTTCCCTCTGAGGAAAGAACAATTATAACTTGGTCAATTTGGAGAGGCGAGGATGACTCTGGGGAGACTGGGAGCTCAGATCTGTGAGTTCTGTGCATATGGGAGGGAGCATGGAATTGGTTAGGAATACGGGATACATTCTCATAGGAAAACCGGCTTCATTAATTCTGCTAATTTAACTTAGCTTTAACTTTAACTCCTAAGCACAGTAACAATGTGGTGAGAGCCCTTAAATGGGTGAATGCACATTTTAAGTTGGTTATTACAAGGCTGACTTATAGATACATTTATATGTATATATGCAGATGCAGATATGTATCTATGTGTACATATATGTGTGTGTCTGTATATGTGCATATATAAATATGTATACATGCATGCAAATGTGTGTATGTGCTTGTAATAGAGAAGGTGCCAGTAGATGGCACTCAAGAATGTATAACTGATGAGCTTGTTGGCTCTGTTTTCATGAAGAAATCAATAAGAAATCTAATCAGTTCCTGAAACAATGATGGCCTCCATCCAAGACGAAGGCATAAAAAAGTCTCTACTTGATACTAACTCAATGGTTCTCTCCAAAACTTTCAAAAAGTCTTTCTTTGCATTGACTAGGCATGGTTTGAATGTACTAGGGCTCAATTGTTAACATTATGGCTGCCTCTGAAGTACTAAGTAAAAAGATTCAGGTGTTATTTGCTTCTATCTCTGACAGCACCTGTCCTGGTATGATGCTTCAGTATTGAGCTAAACTTTTTTATCACCTGAATTAGAGTGACATCCAAACTGGTTAATGGGAGGTGACCCATTCATGCTAATCATTGTGTATTCTGGACATAGCATGGAGAATGACCCACACAAGAAAAAAACATAAAGTCTTTTCTAATAATTTACATAAACACTCCAGTCCTTAAGCCTGTATAATTTCTGGATATAGATTTGTTATTTAGCTTTTGTAAGTGGCATTGTATCTGCAAGAGAAATAATGAAAAATCTTTGTATGAAAGAACTGAAATCAGGAAGAACTAAGTGGAACTTGTTCCTGGTAAAAAAGGATTTGAGGAAAAATTGTAACATCAGTAGATGGAGATTTTTATTCTTTATTAATCCAGAAGACTGTTAGCCTAGAATATACAACTCTGTCCGCAGGCAACACACACATACGTCATCAAAAACTTCAGTCTTGACACTACTACCACCCACATACGTCAGAAGACCTAGATCTACACTACCCTTTTATATGTCCAGATTCTTCTTGGAAGGACATAGGGATGAGAATTTTACCGTACTGCACAACCATAGCTAACCAGGTCTGGACAACTGGGAGAATAAACACACAAGCCTCTCTTTATAGACACAAGCAGAACATTTAGAATTGAAGGAGGGAAGCAAGCGGTGGGGAGAAGGGAGGAAAAGAGAGAGGAGCATCAGCTTTTGCCATTGAAAGAGAGAAGCCTAATAAATCAATAATGAAAAATGACAGTCAGGCTGGAAAACCACATGGCTTGAAGACACAAGTAAAAAAACACTCTTGCATGGGTTGATTTTTTTTTTTAATTTCCTCTATGTTCAGTAAAATGGGCACTTGTTCTCTAAGAACAATCAGGCTTTATGATAAGTTACTTCCATACTGAAATTCCCCCTCTACGAGATATTTTTCTCAGGTCTAAAAACTTTATTTGACCACTTAGATCTCAGATGATATGAGAGAGGAGTAGTGTACAGCCTGGGTTTGGAAGACCAAGGAATGTGTGTTATAAGCATCTTCCTTTCTAAAGGCCTGCAGCTTTACACCTTCCCCATTTAACCTTAAAGAATTAAACCTGAGTGGGACCTGATTTGGGAGCACAGACTTTCAAAATGCTCACAGAAGAGCAAATTTATTCCTCCATATCATTCAAGCTTGAACTTGTTCCTTTTCAAGCTTATGTACACTCTACTGCTCACCCTCTGCATCTTCATTTTCCTTAAAAAGACCTTGTTTTGACTTCTAAATCTTATGTGGCATAAAACTAAGTCAGATGTACTGTCCTAATTTCTATGAATTATCTCATTCATGTACACACCATGGACACATAAGACACATATGTAGAGAGGGGAATTTGGGTATTTATTCCACAACATAAAATGTTTGGATCAACCCCAATAGCTTTCCATGAGGAATGTTTATGCCTGTCAGTCATTTTAAATATCCAGAAAGAGAGGAAGACTGAACAGAACTCTAAAAGGCTACAGAGAAGTCAGAAAACTAGTGTTGCTGACTTCTTGCCAAATAAGCCATTTCTTTTTTTTTTTACAAATTAAATAAATTCCGAGATATGCTGCACTCAGATGCAACTGTAATTCCGGATCTAGGTTTCACAGATTATTTTTCCTGTTTTTTCCTCAGCAGTAATAAAAATTCTGGTGGAACAAATTGAGAGAAAAGGAGAGATGAATCTATTGAGAGGCTCACTGATGACTGCTTACTGCAGCATTCTTTCCATGATGGCTTAATTAACTAGTATGGTATATATCTGCTATCCTTAGCGACTACTTATTAAAACTTTTATGTATACTCATATATGCAGCTTTGAACATAGCTTTTAAGATACAGGGACTTCCCCCCCCCCTTTTTTTTTTCATGATGCTCTTCCTCTAATTCTCTTAGCAACCAGATAACCCTAATTATATTTAGTCTACAAAAGGCTGCTGTATGCTGTTGTAATGTGCCACCCAAGAGATACCTCCTTGAACTTTGGTAGAGTTTAATACAAAACTGGTTAGAGAAGGCTAAATCTGGGAAAGAACTAATGCCACAAAGTCACTTTGGTTACATGGGAATTTTCAATTTGTGATACAGGCACATGCCACTCTTAAAAGCTCCAGCTGGTTTGATAGATTCCTACTTATTGCTACATTTCCTGCTCAGCCAGTTACTTAAGAAATGTTGTTTTGGATCTACAGATGTTTTACAAGTGTTACCTAAATTGCTTAGACAACTTTGTGCAAAACAGAAGAGTTTATTTTTCTTCCTCTCTCAAACTAATAAAAATAATTGCACTCTTCTCTTACAATCCAAATGACAAATCATTTAAATTATTTAAGGATAAAGTATGTTTTTATAGTATTCTATAAACTATATAAAGCATAAAATTATTTGAATAAGAATCAAGTTACAGATATATAACTCATATACTTATGTTTTCTGTTAACTCACCTATTGCAGGAATGATTAAACTACCCTACACAAATATCAATGGCAATTTTCTGATGGCATAAAACTATAAAATAAAAATTTGGTATTGCGAAGCAGCATAGCAAACATTTCCTCTTCCTTCCAGAATTCTCCTACTCCATATCCCATGCCATTGGACCAGGATTCCCTGCATAAGACAGCTTCATGTGTAGGCTGTATGACAGAAGAATCACACATACAATTTACAGTAAAAGACCTCTTCTTCTTTAAGACATGAGGCCATTGTGGTACAATGTCATTAATCTGACAATACTTTAGAAGGCAAGTGACTGTCAGCTGGTCAGTCACAAAGCAATAACCACCACCATGAACACATTATTATTTTTAAAATATAATTTAAATTATTAGCAAATTATGTTGAGGCACTTTTCAAAGACTAAATAATGACCCTGAAGTCCAGCTGATGCAAGCACCTGCAATTCTTTTAGAGAGACTGTAGTCATGTCATTTTGTAAGCTCAAGGACTGAGAAAAGTAACTGCTAAAGGCATTTTTTTTACCAAGTCTTTAGAAATATTTTTTTTATTAGATACTCTGTGGACTAGTACTAATATTCATAAACAAGAAAAAGCTTATGAGCCTGTGCAAAGCCCAGCTATATCACTTCAGATACTTGAGATATTTTATTTATATAACTAAAGAAAATATTTCTATTCTGCCTTGTTTCAGCTTAGAGATAGGAACCTAAATACTATACACATTTCATATATAATCTTTTTTTTTTTTTTATCCCAGTGTGTATCTACATTTGTGACTATCAACCTGTGAAAAGGGCACTGTGCTCTTATTAAAGTCAAAGCTGCAATCCAAAGTAGGTCAAAAGAAAGGAGCACCTGACCCAGAACATAGCTTTTAGATATCATAGCTAAAAACCAAAAATGCCCATTTGTAGTGCCATTGCTAAAGACAAGCTGAACCTGGGTGAAAAGGTTCCTTTCAGGAAAGAACTAGGAGGAGGGGCAGTGCAATAAATACAGTGGCACATGCCTGCTTGCCTGAAGTTTCCTCTCGCTCAGCCCTGATACCCCTGATACTCCATCAATCATGACTGATGCCTGCATTACGCTCTAATTCCTAAGACACATTTCCTGTCATCTGAAAAGATCAAAGGGGAGGCTTGCTCAGGGACAAGGGAACATGTTAATTGCAATCCCACCCTTTTGTTTGTAAATCTTTTGCAATGTTCC